TCTATCTATCTATCTATCTATCTATCTATCTATCTATCTATCTATCTATCTATCTATCTATCTATCTATCTATCTATAACACCGGAGCTCTTTCAAGCTGGGCCCCGTTTCATTCACAACACCTGTCCCACCAACCAGGAACCAGAACCAGATGTTTACAGTAGAAACAGGAAGATATCAACCTGTGGATTATTTGAGGATCTTAGTCCTGAATGCCCAATAACAAGGGACACTTAGTCACTATAGGACCAGTTTGATACGACACAATTTCAGACAATATATTTGATTAGGGGGTCCCCTCCATCAGTTTGGGGGTCCTTTGCCTGGAAAACCTTGAAGACCCCTTTTCTAAAATATACGGTAATTTGGATTTCCCCACAGGGAAGTATTCTATTGCCATCTGGCTGAAATGTGGACGCGTCTTTAAGAGGAGGTCATCTGGCTGGAGCAGAACCTGGACCTACCTGCTAACTGATGCAGCCTTTCCAGACCAGCTGGTTTACAGTTGCATCCAGAGGTTTTCTAATAGGTTTAGTTTTGATTCAGTAGCGGCCAAAGCAGGTTGTTCCTTCATGACTGAGGAGAGTCTCTATTTGTATTCAGTAAATCTGCTTCTGTCAGGCTGCTTTAGTGAATGATTATCGATGCTTTAGATGAGTGCTGCTGGCCCCCCCACTGGGCTTCGGTGCTCCCCTACCACTCCCTGATTAGTGATCCAGGGGAAAAGAAGCCACTCCTGGACTGTCTTTCAGACTCACCGTCTTCCTCTGTGGCCCCCCATCCAGAGATCCAGCACATGGTGCCCTCTGCAAACTCCTCCCCGTGGTTGGGCAGACAGATGGGCTCCACTTGTCCTACAGCAGAGGTGTAAGCACATCTGGATCATTCCCAGAACCAGAATGCCTTAGGCTGAGAGACTGAAAGAGGAAGTAAGCAGCCTCCCACTTTATTCTAGCAGGCGGAGCAGAGAGAGGCTTTTTCAGGCTAAAACTGAACTCAGATCTGGTTCTTAAATGTGTTCAGCTGGTGGTTTAGAAATGAGAAGCTCTTCACTTGGCCCAGCAGGCGCTTACCGTTGAACACGAGTGGCCGGGCTAGTTTCATCAGGGCGATGTCGTAGTCCAGGCCCTTGGGCCGGTAGCGGGCGTGGTACCGGATGCTGCTCACCGCCAGGGACTGGGCCCCATGGAGCAGCTGCTCCGTCAGACCCACGTGGGCCGTCCACAGGGACGAGTTCTCAAATCTGACCGCACACAGCAGGACCAAATCCAGTTCAAGTACAACAGAACCCCACACTGTTCCAGCCATTGTTACTGATAGGATGAGATTAAAGTGACCAATGAAATAAATGACCGTCATGAGAGCAGCAGCAGCTGGTCCTCAGAGCAAAGACTGCTGTTAACATCCTCAGGAGTAATAATACACCTTCAAATCTGAATTTAGACTGCTAACTAAACATGGTTAAACTTAAACTTGATTTTTATGAGCTTATAGATGCCGTTTTTGGAAAGACTGGACGTGTGAGCAGAGCAAGAGCAGAGCTGGTTTATCCTCCATGTTGGACCTAGAACTGCTGACGGCTTTGATTAGAGGGACATTCTGTTGTATCACCACAGCTCTTTTTCTTTTGCTGTACAGTTCCTTAGCAAACTTAAACCGGTGGTGTTCCACTCTGCTTTAGATGGCCTAGCTGTTCACAACATCCAACATCAACAAACCAGTCAGAAACCAGTCCCCATCTCATCGCTCTACCTGTGATGGACAGCAGGGAACCACAGCTATCAGAGTCCTGCATGACTAGTGATGTGGAAATGTTAGTTTAAAGCAAAAGTGAGGAAGTAAGAAATAGAAATGTATTGAAAGGGAAAGCTTCATGAAGTGAGAGCAGCCAGCAGGAGCATACGAGTGGTCCAAATCATGCCGCCCACAGCAGGATGATCCCTGGCTGAGGAGGGGACTCACCCGTAGACACAGTGGGCTGCGGTGAGGATCCAGCTGGGGGTCAGGATGGAGCCTCCACACAGGTGCTCGCTCCGGAAGTGAAGGCTGACCTGCCAGGGGAACTGGCCCGGCTTAGAGATGTTTCCTCCCACAACCCGAGTGTTGTACTGAGGTCTGGAGCCACATTCTGAGGACAGAGCTGGACTTTACTGAGACGTTCACACCAGCAGATCGGTCTGGGAAAACCTCGCTGCTTCAGGAAAATGTAAATGTCTGAGCTGAAGGAGGGACAGAGGAATCAGCCACTGGGACTCATCAATGAAACCAGGTCAGCTGGTCTCAGGAACCTTTGGAAACACATGGGAACCGTCCAGGTTCATCCTCTGATCTCAGGATCTTACTTTGGCAAGCTCTTGTTTTAGGGTTAGTGGAACCCAGAAACTCTGTTAAGCCTCCAGCTGATCCAAAAAGCTGCAGCAGGGTTCTGGGAGAAGCACAGATCAGAGTCCTCCAGTTTCAGAACCAGACCAGAACCTGGAGTAACAGTACTAATGCGCTCTAAAAACTTACTGTTTTATATTGGACCTATGTGGAGAACACCTCAGGGTGCTTTTCTCTGGGTAAAACCTGATTTGTACATGTGGACCCACAGAGCAAGTTCTCTGTTTCTGGGTTTGCTGCTTTGATGGTAAGTTTTGGGACGTCAGAGGTCAGAGGTCAGACTTCTCTCCATGGTTCTTTGAGCCTGCAGGGCTCTGACCGCTACCCACTGCAGCTCAGACTGGCAGCTCACACACTTTACACAGCATTTCATAAAAGGAAACGACTCTTAAAGCAGAGCTCATGCAGTGCTGCTGGTGTTTGCAGGGAGAAGGACACAGCATGCACACACAGGCTGTGGCCACTCAGCTTAGAGGGTTTCTCACCGAGACACTTCAGAGTGGTCACCATCCCGGAGCTGCACTGGCTCCTGCTGGGGTAAAAAGAGGGGGGGCTAAAGTCAGCTGGGCACCACAGAGGATGGGAGCAGGTCCTCCTGTGTGTCACAGCAGGGCTGGGAACATGGAGAGGATGTGGGCGCCCGTGTGCTGGAGCTGGTGCACGCTGTCAGTGAGTGATGAGGACGGGTGGTTTACTCTGGGCCTCCTCAGAGGGGGGGGGGGCTGGTTTACCTTTCAGACGCAGTGTTCTGGAGCTTAATGATCTCCGTCTGACTAAGGTTGAAGGAGACCAGGGGGGTCTGGAGGTCCTGCTCCACAGAAGTCAGAGGGACGAAGAAGGACTCCACATAGCTGAGAGACGTATGAAATCAGAGGTTATTCAGCATGGAGTTAGAAAACAACTCTCTCTTTATGTCATGTCATGTTGAATTCCTCTTCCAATAAGATCATATTTTTATTTATTTAAGAAGCCATCTCTACACAGAGTCTGAGCTGGAAGGCTTGAACCTTGAACCAGAATCCAGGCTGAGTCAGGAGAGGAAACTCAGAGCATCCCAAGTCAACTTTTCTTCTACAATGTAAGGCTGAAGATGATCATATTTTATGAGGGAAACATAGCAGCTGTTGTGTGAAAATGAACATCAAGAAAAGACTAGAGACTGAGCTTCTAGGCTAAACCAAACAAAAAGAGAAGCATTTTGAGCAAAGAGCAAACGACCTGGAGTATCCCAGCTGTTTGCAGGCAGAGATGGCGAGCCAGTTGTTCCAGTCGTCTGCACAGACCGTCCTCCACTCCCCTCTGCTTTGGACCTGGAGGACAGCGCTCCGGCCACCCAGACGCACTGATGGACAGGGACACAGAGACTGGATGTTAAGGTGAGGGGCAGGGGTCAGGGTTGGGGGTTAGTGTCAGGGTTTGGGTTAGGGGGCAGGGTTAGGTGTTGGGGTCAGCGTTAGGGGTTGGGGTTAGGGGTTAAGGGTCAGGGGTTAAGGGTTGGGGTTAGGGGTTGGGGTTGGGGTTATGGCTCAGGGTTAAGTTTTGGGGTCAGGGTTAGGGGTTTGGGTTAGGTCAGGGGTCAGGGTTAATTGTTGGGCACAGGGTTAGGGGTTAGGGGTCAGGGTTGGGGTTAAGGATTGGGGTTGGGGTCAGGGTTAGGCGTTGGGGTCAGGGTTAAGTGTTGGACACAGGGTTAGGGGTCAGGGTTGGGGTTAAGGATTGGGGTTGGGCACAGGGTTAGGGGTCAGGGTTGGGGTTAAGGGTTGGGGTCAGGGTTAGGTCAGGGGTCAGGATTAATTGTTGGGCACAGGGTTAGGGGTTAGGGGTCAG